AGCCAAAAATGAAAACATTTGTTTTCATTTTATCTTTAATGCTGAATTGATTGGTATATCAATTAATTGTTCTCTTTGCTTATATTTGGTTGTTTAAATATTGATTTTTGGAAATAGGTTGGATAATAACTTTTGTAAATTATCATGTTAGAAATGAGGGAATGAAGTTTTCATCTCTGTATATGAATTTATTTGTTCTGGAAAATATTCTCTAATAGGATCTTATAGATTGTATGCAATTTTTAACAGTTTTATTTAGATTGAAGTCATTTTCTATTAGGGTGTTAAGTCTTTGCACGGATGATGAGCACAAATCCAATTTTAAGAGTAATTTTAATTTTGGAGCATAATTAGGTTTATTGATTTTAAAAATATTTTTACTTCTTCTTTCAACTCAAAAAATCTGGTTATTGTTTTTCTAACTCGAACCAGTATACTTCTGCATGTAAAAACCAGGTTTTATAATTATTGGATGATAATTCTTTGTACCATGATGTAAATAGTCTTGAAGTCAATTACTGAAATTTAATGAACTCAATGATCTTTAATATCCTTTAATATATTGATGTCCTTTATTTTGTTTGCAATTCATTTTTCTACAAGAGCATGGCAGTGAAGACATCAATATGTATGTTTTATGTGTGAAGATATTTTTTATATGACTCTATTCTTTGCACCCAATGAAGATTTAACTCCATTTGTACAAAATAAGAACATAAATCCCTAACTATTTTATGTTACTTTTATGTATATTAACAACATTAAAAATATTTCACCAGGGATTCTGACTGGTAGTCATTTACACATAAGAATATCTTCTTTGATGGTCAAATTAAAAATATAATATACCACTACCATTAAAATAGCCAAGCCAGCAACATCTGTAGATTTATCCAGTTGCATTTTAAAACCATTGTGTGAAAATTTAAGCAAAATATTAATTCATTTTTCAAAAGAAAGTGTTATATACTTAAAGCATAAAGAAATTACAATGTCAGAGTAGGACACTGTCTTTTGATATATTTCTCACCAATTTTATCTTTGGTACATGGTTTTGCTAATTTTTTCAACAATTGTTTCTTAACTTTTTAGTAATATGATAGCTAACATATAATATGTTAGAATGCCTCAACTCATTCTTTTTTTTTTTTTCATTATTATACATAAATTTAGAAAACAGACTTTTTTTTTTAAAGCCCTTCACATTTACTATAAAGTAGGTAATATTTTTTTGAAAGCAAATGTGGATGAGTACTCTTCATTTATCTTTTAGTTTTGCTGGATTGAAATTACTCTTACTCATGGTTTTTTTTTTGCTTTTTAATCAATTTGACTATATTTAATCCAAATAAATCCAAAACTTAAATAATTTTCATTATATTTTTGCTTTTTACTGCTACATTCATATAATTCATTGATTCTTTATTATTTTTTTATTTACTTATTTTTTCCTTGTGACAAATGAAATAATCATTTGTCGTTCTTATGACTCACAAAGAAATGCTTCAATATTTCAAAAGTTTTCAGAAGTAGAGTTTAAAACAATTAAATTAAATTATTATCCTTTTATCTATTCCTATAATAAATGTTTTTTTGTTTTGTTTTTCATTTTAATTTTCCGGGTTTTAACCAAATATTATGGATGATGGACCAAAAAATATTTTTTAACATACTAAGTTACCCCTTTAAACTTGATAAAAATTGCCAAAATATGATTAATTAGTAATAAATACTAATATATTTTAATTAATTCCTTATATAACATATTAATGCCTTGTCAATTGTTATTTCTGCTTTTTTACATAGTCTGATATTTTATAAAATCTAAATTTTGGAGCAAAACACTTCCTTTTATTTTTTAAACTCAAGCACTTTCGATGCAATTAGTATGTATGCCACCTTCAGTCACAAAGCCTCTGTTATGTTTAATTATGACCTGTCCACAGTTGTTTGGTTTTTTTCTTGGGTTTTTCCCCCCCCACATGATGCATTGGAAAGAACATTTATTTTTATAATAGAAACTGCTTTTATATTTTTTATTATATAAAATTATAAATGGAATCTTGTTCTATCATTCAATAATTTAATCTTTTCTTATTTGTCTTTTTGCCTTTCACAAAATCAGTCTTTATTTCGCATATATAGTAGTAGGAGATACTGTTAGGATTATAAATATGTTTTCTACAATATGTTGTTTTGTCTATTTGAAATATTTAACCAACTCTACCAGCTTTTTTTCTATTTGATTACAAACTTTTTCTAATGATTTTAGCATTTTTCTAATATTAACATCAATTTTTTTTCCAGATAAACATAACATATTACACACTTGATGATTTTTAAGCTTTGATAAATATTAAAAGAAAAACTATATACAATAATGTTATTTCATTATTAAATTTTTATTTTAAAATTTTTACAATATTTGATGAAAAGTCACATAAATTACACTTATAACACTGTTTATTTATGTATCTCCTACAATCAGTCTAGATTGATTAAAAATTGTAATGTCTTGTAGGATTCAAAAATATGTCTATATATTCTAAGTGGCTTCTAAGAATCTTGGGTTTTATTTATTTGTTCTAGTTTTCCTTTCCAAAATTTAATTTGATAAAATATGAAGAAAAACACTAGAAAAGGCTAATTTTGGAAAGGAGACCCTCAAACAAAAATGTATTTACTTCCAAAAATGTAAATAAATTCAAAAAATAGTTACCTCTCAATTAATGCTTGAGTATTTGATATTTGAGAATGTTTTTTATGTGCATCTACTCATCACTCTCATTTAGCTCTGTTGTAGTCATTATTATTATTTGTGTATGTTATGTTTCCTGCTTTATATCCTGTAGAGCCCAGTCCAAACTATGGGTCTTTAGGCCCTGTAAGAGAATTGCCATTTAATTGATAACACTTTTCTTAGTATATAGGATGTTTCTAGTAGGGTGATCTTTTGGGCAACTTGTATGTTGATGTTACCTGGGACACTGTTAGTAAAATTGTCCATTCCATTTCTCACAAGGTCCAGTTGCTATTGGTATAGTTTCAGTCTTCATTCCCCACATCCTGTTAATCTTGATCTCCAGGTCTTTGTATTTGGACAATTTCTTGATAATGTTCATGGAGGTGTTTATCTCAGATGGTACTGCTATGTCATAAGCATACACTTCCTGAATTTCTTGTCTTTTATGATAATATCAGGTCTGTTGGCTTTTATTTCCCTGTCAGTTTTAATTGGCATGTCTCAGAGGATAGGTACATCGTTATTTTGGGTAACTGTGTCTGGTTGGTGCTCGTACTGTCTCTCTAGTGGTTTCGATTTTGTGCATCTTGCATATTTTCTAGTGCACATATGTTGCTACCTTGTTATGTCTGTGGGTATATTCAGTTTTTGCTAGTTCTGAACATCATGAAATAATATTGTCATATTTTCTGGAGATCCTACATTTCAGATTAGTTTCTTCCTTGATTATGTGACATTGATATGATCTGGTGGTGAGGTTTTGGTCCCGAGCTGCAATAATTACGCCTACTGTCTCAGTTTTCAACCTGGTGCTCTTCAGTCACCGATGTGTTTTCCGTTGGTCCACATCTGCTTCTTTCATTCTTTTTAGGTATTTGCCATGCAAAGCCTTTGATTTCTGGCGTTTACACATTTCTTTCCGGGTCCCACCCAGGGACCTAAGGTTAAAAATGGTATCATGACACTTTCCACTGACAAAAAAAAAAAAAAATTATTATTATTATTATTAATAAGAAATTTAATTTTATAATAAATTTATTTTTAGAAACAAATGCAATTGTGCTTAATTACCACTAATGCATGACATAAAGACATGACGTAAATAAAAAATTAAATTTACTTCAAAATGACAATATGTAGTATTTTGTATTTTCCCATATCTCATTTGGGTGCTACCCACTCTTTTCAAGCTCTGACTACACTGAATGTCTGGTAGAGGAACTATATCTGTTGACAATCATACATATATGAAGGATCCAATGATAAAACATTTCAAACCTAATTATGAGTATGACAAGGAGGGAATGAGAGCTCTAATCTATTTAATCCCTTCCTAGACTGTTCTACAGATGTGAAGATATAGGCACTGATCATTTAAGCATTCTATACCACATCCCAAACGAATCCGCTAATAAAAAAAACAACATCCCTGCTTTCCCTCCTAAGGCTAGTGTACTGATGATGAGGGAAGCTATGCCAATGATATAAGTATTCATATCTGGAACAAAAATGAACTTAAACAAAATATCAACAGCCTCTACCAATTGTTCCAAGATGTAGAACTCTAGATAAACCTTTTCAAAACAGAAAGTATGATCTGGAATTGGAATGAAAGCTATAACAGCACCTACCCTGAATCCATCATAAAAATTCAGAATGTGGAATTACTAAATACTAAACATTTCAAATATCTCGCTATATGAATCAGTTATAAGAAATTTAGAATAGGAGATAAGGAAATTGGATATAGAATAGGCTGTGCAAAGTGTTGTTTAGTCCAACACTGAAAATGTTAAGAATTCTAGTTATGCACTTAAATAGCCTTGTCAGATCGAGACTTCCATATGGATGAATATGCCTGGCATCACACTCATTCAGAAATATCTAAACTGTCAGCTGTATACAATTGCTTTCTCAGATCAATGGTTAAAAATGGCTTTGGGCAAATGAAGGTTTTAGTAAGGACCATACTCCTTCAAATCTCCTGGACTGGCACTATAGAATCACAAACAAATAATTGTACAGATAACAGATACTACATCACTTGAGGACTTTGAACAACAGCAACCACTAAAATTGTTAGTACATGTAGCACAAAGAGAAAATGCTAATGTTTGACACTACTCCAAGCAAAAAGTTAGGAAGGAAATCACTTCAATACCAGAAAGAATGATAATAGTGGACTTGAGAAACCTGTTTTCCTGAAAAATAGACAGATTTTATCAATTTCAACCAACAGTAGCACTGGCTGCTTATAGTTCTTGTCTGATCACTGAAGTTAAGCAATGCTGAGCCTGGTCAGTACTCAGATGGGTGACTGCTGGGGAATACCAAGTGCTGTAAACTACATGACCAGCCTAGCAAGCTGGCAATAGATACAAATTCACTACTTATACTAAAAGAAGGCCTTGGTGTGGAGGTATTTCTGGACTGATAGGCTGTAAGGTCTTACTGGAGTTTGGTGAATGAGAGTAGAACTGACTTCTAGGTCAACGAATGCTGAATGTTTCCTTATAAGAAAATGGCTAGTATTACCAATATCATTACTCCTGTGAGATGGATAGTGATAGAATGATTCACATACAGTTTTATATGTATTCATATTTTACTCAGCAATTATTTAAGTGGGAAATTTGAAAAGTGAAATGTTGCTAATTTTTTATGTAAAAATCACTATTTGTGTTAAATAAAAGAAAGACCTGTAACAGGCATGAAGGAATCATTCATGTTATGAATACTGCGAAATTGTTATAGAACATAGTTTAAATGCTGCTGTCCTAGACATTAGGACCATCCAATTGACCAATATTATTAACTGCTGGGTCTTGCAAAATGCTAAGTGACAACAAATCTCTTTTAACACTTTTTTGGTTTTATTCTTCTAAAATGGAATATTGTTACAGCTATGGCTGCTTCAATGATATGGGATTTTACCATTCTTTTTTTATTTCCTTTTAGATACACTTGCTGAAACATTTTACATTTTCTTCTTTCTCTCTCAGTTACAATGTCTGATATTTTTGCTTCAATAAGATCAATATACACTGATTCTCGAGAAAAAATTTTTTTCAATTGTTTCAGTTTCGTATTTAATTTTTTTTCACACTTTTCCACTTTTCTCCACCTGTCAACTTTCACTGAACTAGTCTAAAACATACATTAACTTCTTTTCTCCCACACAACTGACACCTGTTATTGTCATAGGTTTTATCTGTTAGAGGTTTTCTGTGAAGCCATTATTTTATTTTGTATATAAGATTTTTCTTTATTACATTATTTCTCATTTTTCAGATTATTATTTTAAATTGGTATCTTTTTAGATGTTTGATAGCTAAAAATTAAATTAACTCCCCTTTTATTTTCTGTACAGGCTGCAGATCGACAATACTCTTCAGAACCTGACAGTCATTCTCAATCCTCCACCTCATCCCATCCAAGCAGTCCAAGTGGAATGACTGTAGAACCCCTTTCAGAATCTCCTCCTGTACGAGAAGTAACAATGGAATCTCAAACTTATGAAGAACCATGGGATTCTGAGATGCGTAAAAGGCAGCTAGAAGAGCGGGTATCTGCAGCTGGCTTTCATTCAATGCCATCACCAACATCGGGTGATAGCCGATTAAAACTTGGTGGTGGCAGCAATTATGAAGAGCCATGGGATCTTGCCAGGCGTCAAAAGTTATTGCAAGAAAAATTCAGTATGGCTGAGAAGAGTAACTCAATTGGTAGCTGCTCTGCAGACTCTGACTATCTTGAACCTCGATCAGTACGAAAACAAAGCACTGGGGGGATGTATGAAGAACCCTGGGACTCTATGGCAAAACAGAAGCAGCTGGAAGAAAAACTTCAAGCTACACATATGAAAACTTCTCCTAAGCACCAACCAAGTGCTGGCACTCCACCAGGAGGCAACAGGGTTTTGGGGGATGATGCTGGACAAGGCAATTATGAAGTGCCATGGGACTCGGGGGAGCGGGCCAAGGCAATTAATGATTTAATGACTGGTAAGTAATTCACTTGGTTCAACCCAACGTGTAAACAATAATACATACACTTAAATTCTTATGCCGATTTCCATCTATTAGGAACAAATGATGTAATCATGTGTACATAATCATATCTCATAGGATATTTATAAAAAAAAAAAGAAAAAAGCTTTATATATGGCTAATTCTTTATATTTTAAAAATGTAGTTTTTGGTACAGTTTAACCTGATCAATATAAAATTCTAATACTCTAAAAATACTTAAAAATACAATTTTAGAGTATAATATTTTATGTTGAACACATTGAAAAAGCAAAAATACTGTCAAATATTACCCATAAATTAAATATCCACTCTCAAAGAAAGGGATTTTTAACTAATAAGGAAATTAGTTTTCAGCCATTATGTAAACTGTATTTTCTTTCTTTTTTTTCTTTTTTTTTTTTCTTTGCTATTTACCTGCCCACACCTTGCGTCCAGTTCAATTATTTTAAAAAATTGAGCATATTCATTGGCAGACAAGATGCATTTTTCCCACAAAAATATCAACTTGCATTAGGAGGATTAGTTGTCAGACTAAACAGGCATTTGCTGGAGTCTATTCAGCACAAATTTTAATATAATTTTTCATAAAAATATAGATATTTAAATATTAAATCCAGTTATTTTATGATGGATACAACTAAATATGACACTGTGTTTGTTTTTTTTTTGTTTTTTTTTAACATCTATGATATTAACTTCAAAGCTAGTTATTACTGGTGTTCAAAATTAGTTTATTGATAATGTGTTCACTGTAGGACAGAAATTTTTAAAGAATTAACAATTTTTAAAGTATCTTAATTGAATTTAAACTAACTTTAAATAATTTTACTTAAAAAAAAAATAAAAACTATAAAGAGTTTGTCTAATTTCATAAATTAGATAAAACATAGCACTTTAGTTCCAAGGATAATATTCAGATATATGTGTGAAATAACTTATTGTTTATAACAGATAATTGGATTATTTTTACTTTTTTATCTAGGCCGAGCACCTGAGTACCGCCCAATGTCCTCTCCACCATCAGAAGCCCCACCAAGTCCATCCCACAAACACAGAGGACACTGGGTGAAACAGCCACGCCCACAATTAGCAAAGCAAATGAGTGACAAAACAGAGGCATTTGACCCCTCAGCTCCATTGGCGAAACAAAAGTGAGAACAATCCTGTCTTTTAAAATTAATTTTTTAAGATTTTTCCAAGAATCACTATTTAGTTTATATTTGATTAATTTCATATTTGTAGTTATATTTGAACATTTACATAATGGAAGAGACTTTTTTATTTACTCAAAACAGAAAAGTTAGCAATAAAAATTTAAATTTTAGTGCTAATAGAGAAACTGAATTGTTTTCCTGCAGTTTTATAAGGTAGTTAAATTATCCCATAAGACAACACCAGCAAGTCTTGGGAAATGGTTCATCTGTATATTATTATACAGAATCTTGATCTATATGGCTATTTAATGTTTTCTGAAATCAAATGTAAAATATTAAAAAAATTCCTTTTGAATATTTGATCAATCATTTTGGTTTATGTAGTAATTATTTCATGTTTTGTTTTATTCAGAATTGTAGGACAAATTGTATTTTATTTTTAGTTAGTTAATATTTTTAAAGAAGCTATGATTCCCTTTATTGTCTACAAGGAATTTAGTTTGTGATAGTTATTGCATGTTAAATTTGGCATGCATGCATATCAGGATGTAAATATTTTATGCATTTGTCTTTTCAGGTGGTACCATGGAAATATTTCTCGCCTTCAAGCTGAGCAACTTTTACGAGTATGCCGTGAAGGAAGTTACTTGGTAAGAAAAAGTACAAGTAGTAAAGGAGAGTTCAGTCTCTCAATCAAGTAAGTTATTATTAATTTATATTTTCTTTTAAAATTTTAGTAAATTCTATCTTATTTGTTTGTTTTAAATACATTTTGGAAGCATTTTGCTTACGTTTATTGAAAGTCAATGCAAGAAGGAAAAATTAGATTTAAAAGATTCTGAAGATGTGTAATTTTTTTTTTTTCATTCTTCATGAAGTAAACTCATTTACTGTTAAAATAAAGATTATGAATATAATTTCTGTTCAGTATTCTGTTTAAAATTGAAATAAAGTAAAAAGTTTACTGGCAGTACATATTTGCTATTTGTATAAGTGTCATTTTGTTATTTTTATGATTGCTCCACTTTTCCTTCTTTTGTAGGGGGTGTAGAAGTATCATGCATATTAGGATAGCCAACCGGAATGAAATGTATATCCTGGGAGAGTTCAGCGAGCCATTTCGAACTGTTCCGGACATGATTCATTATTATGGTTCTAACATCCTACGAATCAAAGATGCTGATCATTTACATTTGCGTTATCCAGTCTCTGTGAACATGGTGTGATGATAAATTGATAATCAAAATGAAGAACACTAATGCCACCTGAGAATTACAATGACAACGATGAAAATTTGCTGTGCAAAATGAAAAAGACAACAGAGGTATTCTCTCTTTCAAAAATAATGGCTGTGCAATAAGCAATTGTAAAGTTCAATCTGAGAAGTTGTTTTTCAGTTGTGAACTTGTCAACACAAAAACAACCGTTTGTTCTCTGTGTATTGGACAGGGAGATGATGATGATGATGACGATGAGGATTAGTCGGACAGAGGCAGATTTTCTTTGCCTGATATGTTAAGTAAAATGGTTCCACTCCTGAACTGAGTTGTTCTAACTCAGTACACAACCTAAAAGAAACTGTATAGGTTGAAACCACTACTGACTCAAATGTTCACATGGCACATGCGCACACGGGGCTCATTCTATTGCTACAAATGTAATCTATTCAATTAGTTAAAAAAAAAAAGGCAATAAGCAGGAAAGCTTAGATTAATAATATACCAAACATTGCCCTTCTCCTTTCTTCTTGAGATACAAATCCAAATAGAAGTTTTTACTTTTTTCTTCTTTGTGGTCTGCTCATAATGTTTTCTTAAACTCTTCACTAGTATCCAATAAGTATCAAGAATCCTCTGTGTTGACAACATTAAATCTTTTCTCATGTCTCACTTCTTGGGAGAATTCTTATGCTCACATTAAACATTAAATCTCTTCAATTTCAGATTAAGATTTAAAAGTTCCATGACAATATCTTATTGTCCCCCCCCGCGCATACAATAAAATGTTCTCCACTTGAAACTTTCTCATTTAATACCAGCCTAATATTTTTTGTTTTTTTCCACATAAATCTGTATGCTCTGTATAGTTGAAATTCATCTTTTTATATACATATATATGAAAGATGTCTTTTGGCTTGAAAAAGTACCCCCTAATTATCTATCTTTTTTTTTTAATTTCATTTGAATAGCTCTTAAGGCTTGAAAAAGAAAACAAAAATTTTATTTGTAAAATGAAAAAAATTGAGCCCATCTTTGCTGCCCCAAACTGTCAGCGTTTTGGCCAATGTCACTGTTTCCCATTGCTGTGCCATCAAATTGAAATGGTTCACAACTGTTGCTTGTAGTTGAAACTTGTGACTATGTTACAAAATGGTGGATGAACATGATCTGCATTCTGTGGTAAAGCCAAGTCTCTGCATACAAACTGTTGTTTCGTTGATTTGCTGACAGGTCTACAAGAGGGATCACTAATATCCATTTGAGATAAGAATGCATTTTCATTGCCACAATGGCTGCTTGTGAGACAGCCAGACATTTTCAATTCAGCCGGCATTTTCTCAAAGATCCTTATTGCTCATGGTTATAAAAATATATATTTTCCCAGAAAAATGCCCAAAAATGATGTAATACAGAAATGGTACAGTTTGAAAATGCAAAATTTTGTTTACTTAAAAATATTTTTGTTAAAATTGTTTATTTAATTGTATTTCATTTATTAACCTTAAGATCAAATACTTACATTTAGGAAGAATCAGTTTAAGAGGAAACCTGCAATGTTTAAGTACAATTTGATCAAAATTTTAAGTCAATACATGTCATGTGTATGAAGATATCAATATTTTTTATTAATACTAGAATACCAAGTTAAGTTTTTATCAGACTTTCAGCCAGAAATTTAGCTGGGAAATGTATTCAGCAATTCAGCTAGAAGGACATTCTTCTTGCTATACATTTGGAAATGAGAAACAAAATGGCTGCCAAATTAATTTTGCCTTTACAAGAAGTAAAAATATAATTAAAATTTGCAAAGAAGAGCATTTACAAGAGACAGTTTACCGTTGTCTGCATATTAACTAACATTATTTTTAATACATAATGAGATTTTTTTTATCATTTAAGAGAAGCATGCATTTTAACTGGTGATAATGTCTAGAATGTATGTCTTCCTCTTCTCTAGATTCTCTTTCAGTTTTCTTTATTCCCCTTCTTGCACTTCATACTCAAAAGAAATAACTTAATATTTCTTATTCAGATTTTTTTACTCTCTTTTATAACTCCCCATATTTTTCCTTTTTTTGTTTGTTTTTGAGTAGCAGCTCCTTTACTTCAACTGCTCAACTTAAATAATACCTGACAAAATCATAAGGGGCAACATAGTGTGAAATGTCTTTTCCTCCTATTCCTTCTGCTTGCTGCAAAATGGCAAGTTTTCTCTAACCTTTACCCATACCCACTCCATTTCTTTTCAAGTAGTGCCTTCTAATGATGACTTATCTCTGGATGCTGGTAAGTTTACAGTTAACCTCTTCATGTGTTGGAACTTTGCTTCCTTTTGGAAATGATGCCACCCAACTGGTTCTCAAATTTGTTTGGCTTCATTCTAATCAACATTTCCCAAATGGTACTCAGTTTTACATTGGCTATTCATTCAAACCATGGTTATTCCATTTCTTTTTAGCCTTTTTTTCTTTCTCAAACCTAAAAGTTGGTAGAATTTCTAGTTTTGAGACTGTTGCCATCAGTAAAAATTCCAATTCAGTTTTTTAGCCTTGTATTTAGGCATAGAAACTGATTTTTGTATAAATATATAAGGCACAACTCTTATTTTAGTGATCTGTAAATGACTTATAAACAAAGCTTAACGTAAGATTGCACTAAAAGCTTTTCTCTTTCTTTCTAAAATATCTATTTTCTTACTGCTTTTAGTTTTCTTTCTTTTAAATCTTTAACTATTTTGATAAATAATAAATATAGGATTTGTTCTCTTCAAGTCCCCCCCATACTAGACCTCCATCCTCTCTCTCTCTCTCTATATATATATATATATATATATATATATATATATATATATATATATATATATATATTTCAATTTAGTATAATGTATAACTAGAACTGAGTAGCAAACCAGCCTGGCATATTAAGTTAATATAAATTTACACTTAACAAAAATTGAAATAAATTTGCTTCAGGTTAATGGAAATCTACATAAGTTTTATATTTGTATTAGTTATAAAATTTTTTCATGAAATAAAGAAGACAACCCAAAACATTTGTGAACCACTAACTTTTGTGGCAAACAAGTATTTCCTATTGTTTTCCTCTTCTAGTATTCATTAATGTTTTTCCTCATTTGTTTCATTGACATTTAAAATTTATAAATTAAATTGTTAACATTAGTACCCAGTTACACTTGATTTCTAAAGTTTGGAATTGTGTATGCATATATCTATACATAATTACTATAAAAATTTATTTCTGTCATTTGTGACAGTTATATAATTTTCTATATAAAATGGTCACATTGTAATATTTTAATAATGAAATTTAGATTTTACCTCCATTTTAAATATTTTTTTTCTCATTTAAAGTAGAAAATAAAAGCAGTTTCCTAGCTTGAGGCAGCTCCTGTAAATAAAATGCTTAATTTTAAAAATATATCCCCCATTAATCTTTTATGGATAATTTTGTCTGATTTGCTTTGTATTTTTAATTTTGTTACTAATGATACTTGCCTCCTCATCTTTACACTGCCATCTTGTCATAAAACAACTGTTTTTTTATCAGGAAGTATACCTACCATATTCTAGTCATTTAATTATATTCCCAGGGACAAATAATATTTGGGATGCATTTTCAATGAAAAAACACAAACTTTTTCAATTTTTTTTTATTATTAAATTGCTTTCCATCATAAAGAATTCATGGGATTACCTATCATTCTATTTGCTCTCTCATTTAATTGCTTTCTGCTCAAGTTCTGACTTTGTTTACTTTTATTGTTGAGTTCCAATTTATTTTTGTCAATTGTTTACAATGTGAGATTTTTCTTATTCTAAAACTGTTTTTATGACTATCTTCTTTGTTATAAACAAAGAGAACCAATATGGATACTGATAAGTCTGCAAATTTAAAAGCAATAAGCTTCTTGTAATCAAAATCATTAAAATATATTAATGGAAAAAGACTAAATGTGCTTTTTTTTATTTTCTTGCTCTTTATTTACTAGAGCTGCTTATAGTATTTAGGTCAGATTTTAGACTTTAAATTCTATCAATTTCAATATCAGTTTTCTGTCAATTATCTTGTTTGTTTCTGATTTAACAAATCCTGTTAGCAACAATGCTGACATTCTTTATCCACTCCACATTTGATCCAACACAGTGCAAACAGGATTCTATGGTACCTATGGACTAAATTCTAAACCAATGAAAACTGCCAGTGAAAGTTTGTTTTTATGGAGTCTTGAAGCTTAAAATTATTTGCAATCCCAGCTATCTACAGGAACTAAATTGATATCCTTGAGGTATTTATAGACTGACAGCAAATAGGATAATTGATTTTCTGTGGCAAACAGAAAACCTATCCCAAAGACCATTCATTTCTTTGGATCCTTTAGTTTATGAATATGAAAATTCACTTATAATGTTATGGAAATTTGAATTGCTAATACTTATAATTTATATTTGTAGCAGTTACAAATTAATTTTTTATATAACCTTTTTATTTAATTTTGAATAAACTTTTCAAAGCAGTTGTTTTGAAATATCTACTTTATTAAAATAAGTACTGACATTCAGGAATTGCTTTCCCTAATACATGTATTCTATAATTGCAATATATAAACACAGGCATACATGCTTACATATACATATATATTTGTGTATATCAACTCCATTTTGCTTTTATAATGCCTACCTGATCAGATAAATTTATGACACCACCTTCAGAGCAACATTCTTTCCACTTTGTGTTGTCTTCAAAGCCAACATGTTGTTGACTTTCCTCAAGCAGCCAATCTCTAAACAAGAACATTGTGCATAAAATATCCTGCAATTTCAAAGTCACTGTCTCTAGCCTCTCTCCCTAATATATATATATATATATATATATATATATATATATATATATATATATATTTGTCCTTAAGAAGACTTTTTGTAGTGCTTCCATCAGATAAATTTAGTCTTCTGAAATATCTAAACACATTTCAACATACTTTGATC